TAATCACTTAATCACAATAAAAAAAAAAAGAACTTCGGGGAAGGTAGGGAGGGAAGGGATGGTAGGGGGAAAACAATGGAGGGGGTAACAATGCTCAATAGGAAGTGTACTCATTACCTTACTCATGTAACTAACCCTCTGTATAGTATCTTTACAATTAAAAAAAAAAGCCCTTGTGTAAACAGAGGATGGCTCAAAGTAGCTGTAGTCCATTGAATTCCTGAAATCTCAAGAAACATGTTTATTCTGGAAAAAAGGTGTCCAGTGTCTAATAAATGATTTTGAATTTTGTCTATTAGTTCTTTTTCTAAGTCAAACTTTATTGCAGTGTCATCAAAAGTTATTTATTTACAGTTCTTTAGTTCAGAATTTGTAATCATTCAGATTATATTAAATTTAGGATTTACTAATCTTCTGAAGAAAAGATCTCCTAAAAGTGTAAAGAAATTATATTCAGATTGAAACAGTTATCTTACATAAAACAACTTTTAAAAAGTTTAGACTGTTAATTTTATTGGAAATACATATGGCAAACCTGATGGCCATTCACCCTGGAAACAATTTGTATTTTATTTACTGTCCCCTGCTTGATTGCAATAAATCTGCATTTTTTTGAGAATTTTCATAAATTATCCATTTTTCTATTGGGCTACCATCCTTTAATTCTCAAAGTTAGTGAGATTTTATTTTTAATCATATTTTTATGTCTTTGTAGACTATTAAGTAAAATTACATTTATATTTAGACATTTAACCAAACATTTTTATTATTAGGTTCAATCTTATGACCCAGAAACCAATTCTTGGCTACTTCGTGCAGCTATTCCAATTGCCAAGAGATGTATAACTGCTGTCTCCTTAAACAACCTGATCTATGTTGCTGGTGGACTGACCAAAGCAATATATTGCTATGATCCAGTTGAAGATTACTGGATGCATGTACAGAATACATTCAGCCGACAGGTAATAGCCTAAAATCGTCCAGAAGAGTAATTCATCTAAGAGGGATCAAGTGCACAATCATTATTAATACACTGGAATTTCACTCTTAAATATTTCATGTGTACTTGAATTATTTTACAATTTTAAAAGTTCGACATAAAGCATTCATTACAATATACCTCTTTTAAACTCCTTCCAAGGAACTAGCATTAGTTTATTTTCATTTTGTGTTAGAGATCAGATCCAGGCCTTGTACATAAGTGGCATGTGTTCTGCCACTCAACTACAAGGAACTGCTTTAGGGAAATCACTTCCTTTTTACCATCCCACAGTGAGGTACTCATCACACTTGGGATGTTGATTTTTTCCCCTTTTAACCTTTTTCAGAGTCCTACTCTAGTCTTTATCCCTTTTCTCTTTCATAGTTTAAAAGAGAAGACACGTTTGTTTCTGTAGTTAGAGTCTAGGTAATTTGATGGTTTTGTTACAAAGACATGATGGTGCTAAGGTCTCCTTTGTCCATACTTCACCTATAGCAACACTTCTCTTACCCCTGTCATTCCCCCCCACACCTAGCTATGATGTTACATTCTTACTGGTTACTACTGGTCTTTTTATTTTTGTTTTGCCAATCCTGGGGCTTGAACTCAGGGCTTACACACTGTCCCTGAGCTTCTTTTGCTCAAGGCTAACACTCTACCACTGGAGCCACAGCACCACTTCTGGCTTTTTCTGTTTATGTGGTACTGAGGACTTGAAACCAGGGCTTCATGCATGCTAAGCAAGCACTCTACCACTAAGCCACATTCCCAGGCACTACTGTTCTTCTTTATAGTCTCTCTTAATTTCTTTATTTTTCCTACTCAATCCACTTTATTCCTGAATGTTTTCAACTGCTACTTATTACTGAAGACTCATAGCGGATCTCCTTGCAGTGTATCTCCATCAGAGTCTTTCTCCTGTGGAACTCCAGTTTCCACCTCCCTACTTAATATGGGTGTTGAAGATTTTAGACTTAACAGCCAGTGCTGGCATTTCACTAGCTATAGAGGAGGCTGAGATCTGAATATCACAGTTCTGAAGCCAGCCCAGATGAGAATCTCCACTAAACTACCAAAAAAGATGGAAGTAGAGCTGGGCGCTGGTGGCTCACGCCTGTAATCCTAGCTACTCAGGAGGCTGAGATCTGAGGATCTTGGTTCAAAGCCAGCCTGGGCAGGAAAGTCCGTGCAACTCTTATCTCCAATAAACACTCAGAAAACTGGAAGTGGCACTGTAGCGCAAGTGGTAGAGTGCTTGCCTTGACCTGAAGAGCTGAGGGACAGTGCTCAGGCCCAGAGTTCACACCCATAACCTACAAAAAAAAAAAAAGATGGGAGTGGAGCTGTAACTCTGTAACTCAAGTGGTAGAGCACAGCACCCAGGCCCTGAGTTCAAGCCCCAGTTATACTTAAATAGCATTTACCTTTTCTTTTCTTTTCTTTTCTTTTTTTTTTGAGTCCGGTCATGGGGCCTGAACTCTAGGCCTGGGCGCTGTCCCTCAGCTCTTCAGCTCAAGGCTAGTGCTCTACCACTTGAGCCACAGCAACTTCCGGCTTTTTTTTTTTTTGCTTATGTGGTGCTGAGGAATTGAACCCAGGGCCTCAGGCATGCAAGGCAAGCGCTCTACCACTGAGCCACCTTCCCAGCCCCTAGAATTTACCTTTTCAACCCTTACTTTTTCCCCTCTCCAAACCTAGAATCTTTATTAGATTTTTTTCATATTTGCTTGAATTGAATCAGTCTAGCATATCAATTCTGTGTCGAGTTTTATATTTTCCCATTTCTACTCTTCTTGCTTTTGTATAAATTCTTACCTAAACAAAAACAATAATATTGTAATAAATATTCCATTTTCTAGTATCTTGCTTTGCTAAGTCATTTTGCTACCAGTTATTTTCCAACAAGTTGAATTATGTTTCTCCTTTGATTGAAAACCTACTGGACCAAATCTAAAAGTTTTACCACAGCATTGTAATTTTTGGCTTCAGGCAGGTGTTGTTTGGTGATACTGACATTTGAACTTAGAACCTTGCACTTGCTAAACAAGCACTCTACCACTTGTACCATGAATCCAGCCTTCATTCTAGACCTTCTGTTATCTGACCTTTGCTTTGTCTTTTCAGCTTTCTAGAACTTTATCCTGATTACATTAATTATGTCTTTATTTTCTTAACAAGTCACACATGTTCTTGTCTTGGTTCGTGCTGTTTTTCACCCTTAATGTATTTTTTTGCCTTCTCTCTTTGTAATTATACTCATATTTCAAGGACCACTTCACCATTACAACAAAATGAAGTTACATTGGTCAGAACTGATCTTTATTTTCCATACTGAAATTCAGGCTTCTTACAGATACTGTTTGTTCTAACACCTCTATTATGTATCTTTCATTTATTCATGCTCATAAAATACTTATTGAATAAGTAAAGCAGGTACTTTACTAAGTACCTGAGAGACCTAATTTTAAACTAATCTTATTTACAAGAAATATGGTTAGCCCTAGCCCGACGCAGGTGGCTCACACCTGTAATCCTAGCTACTCAGAAGGCTGAGATCTTAGGATTGTGGTTCAAAGCCAGCCTGGGCAGGAATGTCCATGAGACTCTTATCTCCAATAAACCACTCAGAAAACCAGAAGTGGACTGTGGCTCAAGTGGTAGAGTGTTAGCCTTGAGCCAAAGTACTGAGGGACAGTGCCCAAGCCCAGAGTTCAAGCCCCATGACCAACAAAAAAAAAAAAAGAAGAAGAAAAGAAGTATGGTTACAATAGTGACCATAAATAACATTCGAGTATTGCACCATTTTTTTTCAAAAGTATTGCCCCTGAGATATTTAGCAGTAATTAATAATATATTCAGAATAGCATCTCAACTCACGGAATGGACATAATATGATCTTCAGTTTCAGTGTGAGTAAAATCTTTTATCCTTCCCATATTACATTTGAGGAAAACAGTTTAGGGGAAAGGGTTTTTGATGTTGCAAAGGTTTGAATTCTGAACCTTGCACTTACTAAGCAAGAATGCACCACTTGAGCCACATCCACAGCCAAAAAATAAAATCAGTTTTAATCTAAGCTGCCTTTTACTTTTAGGGGTGAATATTTAAAGAATAATTCATTTTAAAGCCAGGCATTGGTGACTCTCACCTCTAATCCTAGCTGCTCAGGAAGCTGAGATCTGATGATCACAGTTCAAAGCCAGCCCTGGCAGGAAAATCTGAGACTCTTATCTCGTTACCCACAAAAAGCTGGAAGTAGAGCTGTGGCTCAAAGTGATAAAGTGCTAGCCTTGAGCAGGAGAGCTCAGGGACAGCCCAGACCCTGAGCTCAAGCCCCACAACAAGCAGCAATAATAGCAAAATAATAAATTTTAGCTCAAAATTACTGTTTATTTGGAACTGTATATGATAACAGAGCTTAGGAAAATAAGCTAGCATCCTGCATAATGCAGGGCATGCAATGAAAATATTTTTTCTAGGTTGAGATAAAACTAGAAAACAGTAACATCAGGACACATATGGTCCATTTTCTCCAATTAAACAACAGTT